ATCAACGGTGGGAGGCCGGTGGCCGCTTCTGCGATGGCCAGTGCGGCCGCACTCTCAGCATGGCTGAATCCGGCCACGTTTTGGCGGGACTCCGATCAATGGCGAAACGTACTGGTCAACTACTACCACATGAACAGGATAGCGGCCGCTCGGTCAGCAGGCAGGGGCCGTGGCGCCGTCRCCAGCTATCGCCCGTCCACCGTACCGGCCATCTGCGGCGTCGGACAATCCGCCGGTCGGAAGTCGGCGACAGCCTGCTCGGCCGGACCGCAGCCCCTGTCGTTGCCGCCGACGACAACGTCMCAGTCTTCTTCAACGTCGTCTCGCCCAAAGAAACGGTACATCTGCACGTACTGCCAGCGCGAGTTTAGCAAGTCGTACAATCTGCTCATACACGAGCGCACGCACACCGACGAACGGCCWTACCCGTGCGACGTTTGCGGCAAGGCTTTCCGCAGACAGGACCACTTGAGAGACCACAGGTATGCACAGTGAATGATATAATTAAATGCGCATTCTGCCTCGTGTGTTGTGTCGATCAAATCGCCTAGTGATTGGACGTTATTTTTTTTTGGTATACCGACAATTGACTGCAGTTCAACTTTTAAACCAATATATATATATAGTGACCGGCTGTAACGCCTGTAACCGTATATAGTTACCAAGCGCTCATCGTTATGACACAACACACGATGATGTAGCTTTGAATCTTGCGTAAACGAAAATATATGATGCTATACCTATACCGTGGTTATAATCTGCAACGACGACAACCACATCTAATCTAACCCATTTAATAGATGTACTACATTATGTATTTATCATCCCGTATTTTAATAAATCATCGCAACTGCGTACGGTTTTCTTCAAAATCGAGTTTCAAACGGTTAATCGATAACGTAATTCATCCTCGAAACTGCTAGACATTTCTATGGCTGACCATCGATTAATCAAAAATATTTACTCCGCGGAGCTTGTCCTTAAATTTAATCTGTTCCTGCCTCTTGTTTCAATATACTACGCCGCCGTCGCAGTATTTTTATTGATTAATAGTACATTAATAACATAATGTTTATCTGTGCAGGTACATACACGTCAAGGAAAAACCATTCAGGTGTCCAGTGTGCGGCAAAGGTTTCTGTCAGTCCAGGACATTGTCCAGTCATCGGAGCAACAGAAATTCTATGTGCCTGGACACGACGGTGTTACATCAACAACAACAACGGGACGCTGCCGGAAACATACGAAGGCCCAAAATGATCACAGACTTTTCCATCAACTCTATATTGAATTTGCAGTAAACCTGCATATAGTATATATAATTTATATTGTATATTATTTACACATATACAGTGTTATAATATCCATTGTTTTCCAATCCCTCAATTATTTGATCTCAAGTGCGTATGTGCAGACGTTTGAAGGTGAAAGACTATATTTTATCATTATCATATTATATTGTATATTATATATACACGACTGCGGAGAATCGATGCGATATTAAAAATCATTAAGTACTGTCGGTTCATCACACATCATAATAAAGTTCGTCATGTAACGTAATTTATATTCATATGTACGACAYAATATTATATATTATGTTCTATACARTATTTACCTAAAAAACGAAGATTTATTGTTATTACTGTTTTACCACCCATCACATCGATTTTTCGCGTAATAGATAACTTTCTGTATATACCTACTCCACGGCTGCAATGCCGTTCTCGTCTTTTTGAAATGACATTTGCATATTATAATATATAATATATATTATGTAGATTATAGATACATATCATTCTGCTGTATATAATATATTATTATGTCGTAGGTATGTATACGTATTATTATTATTATTAAATATGTACAATTTACGGATTAAAAAATTTATTTTTTGTTATTATTTCAACGCATATATTTAATGATTTAGGTGTATAAACATTATAAACCTTTGCCGATAATAATCTGCCGCATATAGTGTTATAATGATTTTTTTTTTTTGATATT